GTAGTCATCTGGCTGATGGTTATTAATGTAGTCATCTGGTTGATGGTTATTAATGTAGTCATCTGTCTGCTGGTTATTAATGTAGTCATCTGGCTGCTGGTTATTAATGTAGTCATCTGGCTGATGTTTTATTAATGTAGTCATCTGTCTGATGGTTATTAATGTAGTCATCTGGCTGCTGGTTATTAATGTAGTCATCTGGCTGATGGTTATTAATGTAGTCATCTGTCTGCTGGTTATTAATGTAGTCATCTGGCTGATGGTTATTAATGTAGTTATCTGGTTGATGGTTATTAATGTAGTCATCTGCCTGCTGGTTATTAATGTAGTCATCTGGTTGATGGTTATTAATGTAGTCATCTGGCTGATGGTTATTAATGTAGTCATCTGGCTGATGGTTATTAATGTAGTCATCTGCCTGCTGGTTATTAATGTAGTCATTTCCCTGATGGTTATTAATGTAGTCATCTGGCTGATGGTTATTAATGTAGTCATCTGTCTGCTGGTTATTAATGTAGTCATCTGCCTGCTGGTTATTAATGTAGTCATCTGGCTGATGGTTATTAATGTAGTCATCTGGTTGATGGTTATTAATGTAGTCATCTGGCTGATGGTTATTAATGTAGTCATCTGCCTGCTGGTTATTAATGTAGTCATTTCCCTGATGGTTATTAATGTAGTCATCTGGCTGATGGTTATTAATGTAGTCATCTGGCTGATGGTTATTAATGTAGTCATCTGGCTGATGGTTATTAATGTAGTCATCTGCCTGCTGGTTATTAATGTAGTCATTTCCCTGATGGTTATTAATGTAGTCATCTGGCTGCTGGTTATTAATGTAGTCATCTGCGTGATGGTTATTAATGTAGTCATCTGGCTGATGGTTATTAATGTAGTCATCTGGCTGATGGTTATTAATGTAGTCATCTGCCTGCTGGTTATTAATGTAGTCATTTCCCTGATGGTTATTAATGTAGTCATCTGGCTGATGGTTATTAATGTAGTCATCTGCCTGCTGGTTATTAATGTAGTCATCTGTCTGCTGGTTATTAATGTAGTCATCTGGCAGATGGTTATTAATGTAGTCATTTCCCTGATGGTTATTAATGTAGTCATCTGGCTGCTGGTTATTAATGTAGTCATCTGCCTGCTGGTTATTAATGTAGTCATCTGTCTGCTGGTTATTAATGTAGTCATCTGTCTGCTGGTTATTAATGTAGTCATCTGTCTGCTGGTTATTAATGTAGTCATCTGGCTGATGGTTATTAATGTAGTCATCTGTCTGCTGGTTATTAATGTAGTCATCTGGCTGATGGTTATTAATGTAGTCATTTCCCTGATGGTTATTAATGTAGTCATCTGGCTGATGGTTATTAATGTAGTCATCTGCCTGCTGCTTATTAATGTAGTCATTTCCCTGATGGTTATTAATGTAGTCATCTGGCTGATGGTTATTAATGTAGTCATCTGCCTGCTGGTTATTAATGTAGTCATTTCCCTGATGGTTATTAATGTAGTCATCTGGCTGATGGTTATTAATGTAGTCATCTGTCTGCTGGTTATTAATGTAGTCATCTGCCTGCTGGTTATTAATGTAGTCATCTGGCTGATGGTTATTAATGTAGTCATCTGGTTGATGGTTATTAATGTAGTCATCTGGCTGATGGTTATTAATGTAGTCATCTGGCTGATGGTTATTAATGTAGTCATCTGCCTGCTGGTTATTAATGTAGTCATTTCCCTGATGGTTATTAATGTAGTCATCTGGCTGCTGGTTATTAATGTAGTCATCTGCGTGATGGTTATTAATGTAGTCATCTGGCTGATGGTTATTAATGTAGTCATCTGCCTGCTGGTTATTAATGTAGTCATTTCCCTGATGGTTATTAATGTAGTCATCTGGCTGATGGTTATTAATGTAGTCATCTGCCTGCTGGTTATTAATGTAGTCATCTGTCTGCTGGTTATTAATGTAGTCATCTGACTGCTGGTTATTAATGTAGTCATCTGCCTGCTGGTTATTAATGTAGTCATCTGGCTGCTGGTTATTAATGTAGTCATTTCCCTGCTGGTTATTAATGTAGTCATCTGGCTGATGGTTATTAATGTATTCATCTGGCTGCTGGTTATTAATGTAGTCATTTCCCTGATGGTTATTAATGTAGTCATCTGCCTGCTGGTTATTAATGTAGTCATCTGTCTGCTGGTTATTAATGTAGTCATCTGGCTGATGGTTATTAATGTAGTCATCTGGCAGATGGTTATTAATGTAGTCATTTCCCTGATGGTTATTAATGTAGTCATCTGGCTGATGGTTATTAATGTAGTCATCTGGCTGATGGTTATTAATGTAGTCATCTGGCTGCTGGTTATTAATGTAGTCATTTCCCTGCTGATTATTAATGTAGTCATCTGGCTGATGGTTATTAATGTAGTCATTTCCCTGATGGTTATTAATGTAGTCATCTGGCTGATGGTTATTAATGTAGTCATCTGGCTGCTGGTTATTAATGTAGTCATTTCCCTGCTGATTATTAATGTAGTCATCTGGCTGATGGTTATTAATGTAGTCATCTGGCTGATGGTTATTAATGTAGTCATCTGTCTGCTGGTTATTAATGTAGTCATTTCCCTGATTGTTATTAATGTAGTCATCTGGCTGATGGTTATTAATGTAGTCATCTGCCTGCTGGTTATTAATGTAGTCATCTGCCTGATGGTTATTAATGTAGTCATCTGTCTGCTGGTTATTAATGTAGTCATCTGGCTGATGGTTATTAATGTAGTCATCTGTCTGCTGGTTATTAATGTAGTCATTTCCCTGATTGTTATTAATGTAGTCATCTGGCTGATGGTTATTAATGTAGTCATCTGCCTGCTGGTTATTAATGTAATCATCTGCCTGATGGTTATTAATGTAGTCATCTGGCTGATGGTTATTAATGTAGTCATCTGGCTGATGGTTATTAATGTAGTCATCTGTCTGCTGGTTATTAATGTAGTCATTTCCCTGATTGTTATTAATGTAGTCATCTGGCTGATGGTTATTAATGTAGTCATCTGTCTGCTGGTTATTAATGTAGTCATCTGCCTGATGGTTATTAATGTAGTCATCTGTCTGCTGGTTATTAATGTAGTCATCTGGCTGATGGTTATTAATGTAGTCATCTGTGCTGGTTATTAATGTAGTCATTTCCCTGATTGTTATTAATGTAGTCATCTGGCTGATGGTTATTAATGTAGTCATCTGGCTGATGGTTATTAATGTAGTCATCTGGCTGATGGTTATTAATGTAGTCATCTGTCTGCTGGTTATTAATGTAGTCATTTCCCTGATGGTTATTAATGTAGTCATCTGTCTGCTGGTTATTAATGTAGTCATCTGCCTGCTGGTTATTAATGTAGTCATCTGTCTGCTGGTTATTAATGTAGTCATCTGTCTGCTGGTTATTAATGTAGTCATCTGCCTGCTGGTTATTAATGTAGTCATCTGTCTGCTGGTTATTAATGTAGTCATCTGGCTGCTGGTTATTAATGTAGTCATTTCCCTGCTGGTTATTAATGTAGTCATCTGGCTGATGGTTATTAATGTAGTCATCTGTCTGCTGGTTATTAATGTAGTCATCTGCCTGATGGTTATTAATGTAGTCATCTGGCTGATGGTTATTAATGTAGTCATCTGGCTGATGGTTATTAATGTAGTCATCTGTCTGCTGGTTATTAATGTAGTCATTTCCCTGATGGTTATTAATGTAGTCATCTGTCTGCTGGTTATTAATGTAGTCATCTGCCTGCTGGTTATTAATGTAGTCATCTGTCTGCTGGTTATTAATGTAGTCATCTGTCTGCTGGTTATTAATGTAGTCATCTGCCTGCTGGTTATTAATGTAGTCATCTGTTGCTGGTTATTAATGTAGTCATCTGGCTGCTGGTTATTAATGTAGTCATTTCCCTGCTGGTTATTAATGTAGTCATCTGGCTGATGGTTATTAATGTAGTCATCTGGCTGCTGGTTATTAATGTAGTCATCTGGCTGATGGTTATTAATGTAGTCATTTCCTGATGGTTATTAATGTAGTCATCTGCCTGCTGGTTATTAATGTAGTCATTTCCCTGCTGGTTATTAATGCAGTCATCTGGCTGATGGTTATTAATGTAGTCATCTGGCTGCTGGTTATTAATGTAGTCATTTCCCTGCTGATATTAATGTAGTCATCTGGCTGATGGTTATTAATGTAGTCATCTGGCTGATGGTTATTAATGTAGTCATCTGGCTGCTAGTTATTAATGTAGTCATCTGGCTGCTGGTTATTAATGTAGTCATCTGGCTGATGGTTATTAATGTAGTCATCTGGCAGATGGTTATTAATGTAGTCATTTCCCTGATGGTTATTAATGTAGTCATCTGGCTGATGGTTATTAATGTAGTCATCTGGCTGATGGTTATTAATGTAGTCATCTGGTTGATGGTTATTAATGTAGTCATCTGTCTGCTGGTTATTAATGTAGTCATCTGGCAGATGGTTATTAATGTAGTCATTTCCCTGATGGTTATTAATGTAGTCATCTGTCTGCTGGTTATTAATGTAGTCATCTGGCTGATGGTTATTAATGTAGTCATCTGGCAGATGGTTATTAATGTAGTCATTTCCCTGATGGTTATTAATGTAGTCATCTGGCTGATGGTTATTAATGTAGTCATCTGGCTGATGGTTATTAATGTAGTCATCTGGTTGATGGTTATTAATGTAGTCATCTGTCTGCTGGTTATTAATGTAGTCATCTGGCAGATGGTTATTAATGTAGTCATTTCCCTGATGGTTATTAATGTAGTCATCTGGCTGATGGTTATTAATGTAGTCATCTGGCTGATGGTTATTAATGTAGTCATCTGGCAGATGGTTATTAATGTAGTCATTTCCCTGATGGTATTAATGTAGTCATCTGGCTGATGGTTATTAATGTAGTCATCTGGCTGATGGTTATTAATGTAGTCATCTGGCTGATGGTTATTAATGTAGTCATCTGGCTGATGGTTATTAATGTAGTCATCTGGTTGATGGTTATTAATGTAGTCATCTGGCTGATGGTTATTAATGTAGTCATCTGCCTGCTAGTTATTAATGTAGTCATCTGGCTGATGGTTATTAATGTAGTCATCTGGCTGATGGTTATTAATGTAGTCATCTGCCTGATGGTTATTAATGTAGTCATCTGGTTGATGGTTATTAATGTAGTCATCTGCCTGATGGTTATTAATGTAGTCATTTCCCTGCTGGTTATTAATGTAGTCATTTCCCTGCTGGTTATTAATGTAGTCATCTGGCTGATGGTTATTAATGTAGTCATCTGCCTGATGGTTATTAATGTAGTCATTTCCCTGCTGGTTATTAATGTAGTCATCTGGCTGATGGTTATTAATGTAGTCATCTGGCTGCTGGTTATTAATGTAGTCATTTCCCTGATGGTTATTAATGTAGTCATTTCCCTGATGGTTATTAATGTAGTCATCTGGCTGATGGTTATTAATGTAGTCATTTCCCTGATGGTTATTAATGTAGTCATCTGCCTGATGGTTATTAATGTAGTCATCTGTCTGCTGGTTATTAATGTAGTCATCTGCCTGCTGGTTATTAATGTAGTCATCTGCCTGCTGGTTATTAATGTAGTCATTTCCCTGCTGGTTATTAATGTAGTCATCTGGCTGATGATTATTAATGTAGTCATCTGGCTGCTGGTTATTAATGTAGTCATCTGCCTGCTGGTTATTAATGTAGTCATCTGGCTGCTGGTTATTAATGTAGTCATCTGCCTGCTGGTTATTAATGTAGTCATCTGGCTGCTGGTTATTAATGTAGTCATCTGCCTGATGGTTATTAATGTAGTCATCTGGCAGATGGTTATTAATGTAGTCATCTGGCTGCTGGTTATTAATGTAGTCATCTGGCTGATGGTTATTAATGTAGTCATCTGGCTGATGGTTATTAATGTAGTCATCTGCCGTGTTGAAGCTTGAAACCAAAACACAAATTGAGCCCAAAGAACCAGGAATCCATGTTTTAATCTCAAAGTCTCTAATTGTAACTAAAATCATGTTTCATTTTTTCTTGTTTGAAATCAAATCAGAAGAAGAAAAACCCGGAGCTGCTGCTGCCCAGGAAAAAGAACAAAACCTTTAAAACTCAGGATTATCATTTGATTTGTTTGTTGGTAAAGTAAAACCGTTTATCTTTAATTTAGCCTGAAGACTAACATGGCAGGTGTTATTTTTCATCCTCTGGAGTTTAAACTGTTTTCTTTGGTTTTTCTGGGAGGTCAAAGATTTTCTCCTTTTTAACATCTTCAGTTTTTAACTAACAAAGTTACTTTATTTGCTCTTTTAACAAGATATTTTCTGAACCTGATTTTTTTTTCTGATTTAAACTGAAAATAAACAAAACATTGAACTTTACAAATATGGTTAATATTATAAATGTTTATTTCTGGCTTTTTGCTCAGTTTCAGAAAAAGATTTAAAGTTTGATTCATTTTCATCTCAGGGTAAAAAGAGCAGACGGTTTTTTAAACTATTTAAAATCCAGTCATATTAATAAAGAGCAGTTTAACGTTTCTTGGTGTTTATTTAACTCAGAATCATCATTAAAGTTCGTTTCAGTAAAACCAGTCCTCCAGTGACTAACAAACTGGTGGTAATGGGAGCGGATGAGCAGGAAATGGTTTTCCTGACTGGAAACAGGAAGGAACTGACCAATCAGCTGCCTCAGATTGTCTGTTTCCTGTTTGTAATCTGGCAGGAAATGACATCACAGACAACATGGTGGTTCTCTGTGATGTTTAAACTGGGTAAACTGGGTAAACTGGACACCAGTCTGCAACATAACGAACCGTCTGGGTGAATCAATTAGATAAAAAAACCTGAATTAAATATTAAAACTTTCATGTTTCAGTGATGAATAGATCATCTGTTCAGAGACAGAAGTTACTTTCTGAATCTCTCTTCTCAGATTTGAATCTTTTCATGAATGGAAATCCACCAGGCTGACAGCCGAGCCTGGATTAGATTAGATTAGATCAGATGAGATTAGATTAGATTAGATTAGATGAGATTAGATGAGATGAGATGAAATGAGATGAGATGAGATGAGATGAGATGAGATCAGATCAGATTAGATTAGAGTCGGTCAGTTTGTCTGTTTTACCTGTTTTTGTTTTTCTAAACTGTTTCTGGGCGTTACATCTCTGCTGCTTCCTTCACTGGGACAATAATCTCATTTTAGTATTTCAGAGAACAGAAGCTTCATTTGTTTGGTGGTTTTAACAACATTCATTTTATTTCAGCAGGTTCTGTAAGAGAAGAGGAAGTCCAGTATACGCCAATTCATTTTAAGGACAAAAGACAAAACCAGGTAGGTCCTCAGAAACAGGCAGAGAAATGTCTGGAGGAGATCTAGAGCTATAGATCTAGAATCTAGATGTAGAGATCTAGAATCTAGATCTATAGAGCTAGTTATAGAACCAGAGTTATAGATCTAGATCTACAGATCTAGTCAACACACAGCTTCAGTTGTTACAGCTGGAAGCCAGAGATCAGGCTGACCTTTGACCTGAGCCTTCAGAGCCACATAAAGAAGGTTCCAAAGTCGGCCTTCTACCAGCTGCAGAACATTTCAGGATCAGAAAAACTGACCTTCCAGACCTCTCAGGTCATCTGGTTCTGGTTCTGGTTCTGGTTCTGCTATGCATCCAGAACCAGAACCACACATGGAGAAACAGCATTCAGCTTCTATGTGACACAAATCTGGAACAACCTTAAAAAACTGTAGAAACACTGAGTTCCTATAAACCAGAGTAGAAGCCCTCAGCCTGGCTGCTGATTCATATCAACTGTTGATGAATTAATTATTATTTATTCTGCTGCTGTGACGTTTCTTCCTGTTAGTTTTATTGAATCATGTAAAGTCCAGATCAACCTGCTGGGAATCCCCTCGGCTGTTTCTCATGGCTCATAAACTGAGCTTCTCTTCGACATGTTTACCGACGGCGTCAGATATCACTGAGCAATCATCCAGTTCCTGTTCTGCTAACAGGATGTTTGCTTTGCTGGACGCCTCCAGAGAGATAGAGTATAAAATGTAAAGGTCAAAACAAGTCAAGTAGTCAGACTGTGCTTATTTAAAATATCCTATAATTATCGTTCTTCTAAATTAGAGACTCAAAGCTGGATTAGAGAGGAGAAGATTAGAGATTTCTAAATGAAAAGGCAGCACTGAGTTCAGAGGAAATCAGCCAAACGTGAACAAAGAAGCTGAAAACAGAAACCAGGGAAACGTTTGATAAGGAGCCGATAAACTGGAACTGGTTCAACACAAAGGCAGAAACAAAACGACTTCAGAGGCTGCAGCGCATGTTGCTGCAGCTCATTGCTGCAGCGCATGTTGCTGCAGCTCATGTTGCTGCAGCTCATGTTGCTGCAGCTCATGTTTCTAATGGACTCAGGTGGTGAGACCTGGAGCCAAACAGAGCAATAAAACCCATCAGCTGGAGCTGTAATATTCAAACACTTCAGTAATAAACCAGTAACTCAGGAGACGCTGCGTTTGCATTAAATATGACCAGGAAACATCCAGAACCTGCAGATTCTGGGGATGAAACAGCAGAACCTGCTGATGATCGGGTCGGTTCTGTCAGGAAAACTGACAGACTGGAGATGACCGAGTCCAGAACAGCAGAGGAATCGCTGATTTATTTATCTTCTTCTCCTAACAGAGAAGAAGCAGGTTTTAACCTGGTTCTGACCCAAACAGCCTGGTTCTGACCCAAACAGCCTGGTTCTGACCCAAACTGCCTGGTTCTGTGGTTCTGACCCAAACTGCGTGGTTCTGTGGTTCTGACCCAAACTGCCTGGTTCTGTGGTTCTGACCCAAACTGCCTGGTTCTGTGGTTCTGACCCAAACTGCCTGGTTCTGTGGTTCTGACCCAAACTGCCTGGTTCTGACCCAAACAGCCTGGTTCTGTGGTTCTGACCCAAACTGCCTGGTTCTGTGGTTCTGACCCAAACTGCCTGGTTCTGACCCAAACTGCCTGGTTCTGTGGTTCTGACCCAAACTGCCTGGTTCTGTGGTTCTGACCCAAACTGCCTGGTTCTGACCCAAACAGCCTGGTTCTGTGGTTCTGACCCAAACTGCCTGGTTCTGTGGTTCTGACCTAAACTGCCAGGTTCTGACCCAAACTGCGTGGTTCTGTGGTTCTGACCCAAACTGCCTGATTCTGTGGTTCTGACCCAAACTGCCTGGTTCTGACCCAAACTGCCTGATTCTGTGGTTCTGACCCAAACTGCCTGGTTCTGACCCAGCAGAACCAGCTTCCTGCTGTCTCTCTGACCCGTTTCCTGTTTTTCTTTCCTCAGGAGGAAAATATTCCAGAACCATCAGGAAGCAGCGACAACAATCTGACAACCGTTTATGCTAAACTGGAACATCCAACAACAGACCAGAACCTGCTAACAGCTAGCGGCTAACAGCTAGCAGCTATTGGCTAACAGCTAGCGGCTAACAGCTAACAGCTAGCAGCTAGTGGCTAACATTTCATCTGTTCCCTTCAGGAACTCCAGGCTGTAAAACTGGACATTCATCAATATATTCAATATATTAAGCAGCTTATTGTTGACTGCATACATTTCCCATTTCTGGTGTTAAATTTTATATTTGTGCCTTGAATTTTTTGTGAATATTTTCTGTTCATGCACTGTTTGGGAAAAGGAGTTTAGAATGTGGTAAAAAAAATAAATAAAAATTGAACCATGAATAAAAGCAGCAGATGTTTCTTCCTGGACGGAGGCAGCAGGAGTGGCCTTTAACTAGACCACAGGAAACAGGACAATGACTCAATGACTCCGCCTCCATAAACCTTTGACTCACAAAACGCAGAAACTTGAGACTCAAAGGATTCGGGGATCAGGGGAAACGTCTTCTGTAATTCAATCAACTTTATTTTTATCAGTTTAAAACTTTTCAGGTAATGTCTGTTAGGAAGCGTCTTCTTTCTTCTTCTGCTGTTCCTCTTGTTACAGTCATATGACAGTGACCCTACTGTTTGGGAGGAGAACTGCAGATGAAGCAGAATAAACAGTAGATTAATCTTCATGACAATAAATGAATATTCCTAAAGAATATTCATGGTTACTGTCAGGGTTGATGGTTCACTGACTGGTGTGTGATTTTATGACCAAATTAGATTATTTCACACTGTATTTTGAAGTAAGTTGCCTTATTGCTATAAATGAACCAATCATCATTTCAAGCTTAAACTCATAAACTCCTCTGGATTTTCATTCTTCATAACCTGATGAAACTGAAAGTTTGATCAGAATTATTATCCGTTATTTGCCTCTGAAGCTTTTTGTTTCTTTACAGAATTAATGATTCAACACTTTCTTGTGAAATGTGTTTTTGTTTGGTTGGTAAGAAAAATTTGATCTGATTATGTTTTTCTTCATCTTAATATTAATAACATTAAATTTCACTGGTTCTGGTTCTGGTTCTGGTTTGGTTCTGAATTTGATTTGTGTTTTTGTTTCACCAAATTTCTTTTCATTCTGAAAACACTTTTGATGATTTCCTTGAAGTTTGAAATCTCGTCTTCTGTGTGATAAAAACTCTATAAATATGGAGTCAGTGAGAATCTGTTGAAATATAGATATAGAATAAAAGAGTTTTAGTTTGAGGTCTCAGAGTTAATCAGTGGATTAGGTCCAACGGGACAAAGGCAGAAAATCAAACAGAATATTCCTTTACTTTAAGCTCTTATAATGTGTGAATATTTATTTTAGTTGTTATTGATTTTAATCACATAGATTTCCAGTTTTGTCTTCTGGTCAAATCCTGATATATTTTTCTAGATCCTGTTATTTTTCTTCTACTTCCCTGTTGATTTTTTCCACCTATAATTTTATCGTTTCTCCACCCGTTGTGTTTCCCATTATTGTTCGCCTCTGTTCTTGTTCTTTGTCTGATCATATCAGTAGTTCATGTTTTCTCTGCTGACGCCTCTATTTATGTTTCTGGCTGAGTCGACGCAGCACCCTGCAGCATCGCCGGGAGTTATGCAGCACCTGCTGCAGGAAAACATTTGATTCAAAATGTTAGCTTCATTTTGTTAGCTTCATGATGTTAGCTTCATAACAATAGCTTCAAAATGTTGAAGCTATTGTTCAACATTTTGAACAATAGCTGTTCAAAATGTTGAACAGCTATTGTTCATTTTAGTTAGCTAACACTAACTAAAATGAAGTTAGTTGTTAGCTAACTTCATTTTGTTAGCTAACAAAATGAAGCTAACATTATTTTGTTAGCTTCATGATGTTAGCTTCATAACAATAGCTTCAAAATGTTAGCTTTATAACATTAGCTTCATTTCAACATAAGAAATGTTAGCTTCATGATGTTAGCTTAACATTAGCTTCATAACGTTAGCTTCATAACGTTAGCTTTATAATGTTAGCTTCATAATGTTAGCTTCATAACAGTATTACTGTACTGAAACCTGAAACCAACAGAAATCCCTCTGACTGCTCTTCATGAAGCTTCAGCAGCTCTGAGCGAACTGTGCTGATCCTCCAATTTTGTTTCTATGGATACAAAAATTAAATTTAATAAACTTTGCAGATTGCTAAATCTTTGCTCACAGGAAGTTCATATTCATTTGTGTTTATTAATCTTAAAAAGTTCTCAGATGTTCACCAAACAGACTTACTGACAGAAGAATTTAGGTTTATTTATATTCTAACACTTTATATTATTTATATTTTAACACTTTATATTTTTACATTTTAACTTAATATTATTTATATTCTAAAATCTTCATAGTGATGAATAAATAACACTCATTTAGTGCCGACTCTTCAGTCTATATTCTGAAACTAAACTTTTACATTCTCTCGTTTTCTCGTCCAACATGAACAAAAAATGCAGATTTCTGATTATATTTTAGTTTTTAAAATATAAAGAAAAATCTTAAAAGTGTGGAGTGCATTTGGATTCAGCCTCCGAGTTTGTGAAGCTCCTTTCGCTCCGGGTCCATTTCTCCTGTTCTGTGATCGGTTACAAACCTTTCCACAGATTTTGATTAAGGTCTGGACTTTGACTAGGCCGTTCTAACCTGATCTAATCCATGATATCTCTGGCTGTATGTGAACTCCAGATTTCCTCTCATGTTGGTTTTTGGGTGATTTATTTTGGTCTCAGAGTGTTTGAGTTTGGAAGGTCTCTTTACCATCACCCTAATCTTTAGTTCTCTCACTGAGTCGCTCTTGACTCATTAAAGACGGCAGGAAATCAGCAGCAGATGAAAAAATCCCCTCAGGAAATTCCACATTCCAGAGAAATAGTTTCTGGGAAAGCGCTTCATGTTCCAGCTCATCCTGCTGATGGATGTTTAGATCAGATCAACATCTGAACTTCTGACAACAGAACCAATAAGTATTATCAATGTCAGTTTCATGCAGTAATGTGTCTCTACATGTAATCTGAGTTATTTCTGCATCATTTCCACAATAACTGATCGTTTCTCCTCTGAAGCTGATGATGATGTCACAGCCATGTTGAAAGGACATTATAATTAGCATGAATCGTTTCATATAAGACTCTTCCAAAACTGAAACAGAAAGAAAACAGCAGGACAAACCAACAGATCCGACTGAATGTTTGTGTTTGACTCCAGAATCCTTCATGCTGACACATGAAGGATTGTATCGGCTCCGTTCTTCTCCGTTTTGACAGCTGCTGATCTCTGGAATCTGGGAATCTGGGAAAGAAGGAGAAAGTTTCATCTGAGCTCAGTGAGTCCAGCTCAGTCCTCATCTCCACCAGCATCACTGTATTTACAGAACAAACCAACCAGGCACAAGTTTCCACAACAAACAGATCAGAGGAACATCAGCAGGGCTCCGTGAAGGTCAGAGCCGCCGACCTCTGTGACCCCTGCGACCTCTCTGCCCCAAAGCTGCAGGTCGTCAGCCTGACTACAGACAAACTGAAGAAACTTTTGCTTATAATGAGAATCAAACTAAAAGTGAAACATTAAATCAGTTTGGATCCTAATCTGATGGTTTCTGTCTGCAGCTGCTTTTAGTTTCACATCCATCAGTTTTAATTAGCTGAGAGGGAAAAGTTTGGTTTGATAGAAACAAATGGAGTCGCTGACATCACTGATGAGAAATGGAAGAATCCCATAAAAGAATCAACAACAGAACCAGAGAAATAAAACAGAACCAGAGAAATAAAACATATTAACAGTGAATGTTGCTGGTTGGTTCTTAGAAATGATGAGGCATCACCACCAGGGGGCGCCTTTTCCCTTCACAGAGCATGAACTGACGCCATGTCAGGAGTTTCTTCATGTTGTAATTATTTGTGTTGGAGTTTTTCTCCGTCTGCAGGATCAGATTCAGCTGTTTGTGGCTCCAGGTTTCATTAGCGGCTCTGCAGCTTCAGCAGGGATGAAAAGCTTTAACTGCTGAATGATGTGGAAATCCAGCTGCAGTTCCCACATCTCATCAACAACAAACTGAGTCTGAGTTCTGACCCAGATACTCCAGAATTTACTGAACCGGTTCCATGAAGAGGCAAAAACAGCAGGAGGATCCGTTCTTTTAAAGGGCCAGTATCATTTTAAACCAACCGGTTTCAGCTTTACTTCATGTTATATTCATATTTGCCTTCATTCCCTCATATATGTTTGACAAATAGTTTAATCACAACTGACTGCTGAACAGGGAGAGGAGCTTCAGAGGAGAGCCCTCCCTCCCCCAGCTCCTTCAGACTAGCCAGCAGAATTAGCAAACACCTGGTGGAACTGCTGAGCTCACATTAAAACATTCTGAGTTTCACAATGTGAAGAGGCGTCACAAAGTACAAAAACAGTAAAAAACAAACAATTCTTATCTTATTATGTCATTTTCCTTCCATAGAAAACAAAATATAGAAACATTGAATTATTAATTTTCCAAAATATAAAAGTCTGATTACATTATATTATATAAATCATGAAACTCTTCATCCAGTCAGGATTTTTAACAGAGATTATTTAATCTGATAAATTAATATTAACTCCATTTCCTCTAAACCTAAATAATCGTAGCTTCTTACAGCCGATACATTTTCTGATCATTTGGTAGAATTTAATATTTGTTCATAATTTTCTCAAAATCAGAGAAAAATAGAACTTTTTTCTTAAAGTCTGTTTAAGGACAAACTTTCCTTGAAAAGTAGAGACTAATCATGTTTTTACTTTATTTATTCCTCATGTTGTTTTTGATGTTTGAATTGTTTTAAAATGCTGTTTGTGCATCATAATGTTTCTCCTCCTGTCCACTAGGAGTCACTGCAGGTCTACATTAGGGTCAAATCCAGTCTGTTATTAGTCTCGAATAAACTCTTCCACCTAAATATAACAATATAAAAGTTCAAATACAAGAAAAATGTAGTTATTTTTTTCTTTTTTTCTACAGATATAAATTAACGCATTGTCTCATTTTAAAAATAGAAATAAATCGACAGAAACCAAATGAGTAACCCAGAATTATCTGCACATCTGTTTGATGTGATTCTATTTTTTCTGAATGTTTAAGCTTTAAATCCTTTGCTTTGGAAAACAGCAGATAAACTTAAATGCTCTGAAATATTCTATGGAAATAAATGTGATTTTATTGCTTCTGTTTTCTCTACAGTTCAGCTCAAAGTTTGTTTGCATAAACTTCAATTTGTCCAAAACTTCTGCACCAAAGTATAAACTGGAGAAAATAAAATATCTCAAACATTTAAAAGCAGGAATGTTCTGAAGTTTTTCCAGTTTCAGGCTCCATAGACGACTGTCGTAAATGTTGGATCATTTTCCTGAAGAGAAACTTCTGGAGGAAACGAAAATCCTGACCTGAAAAAGTAAAAACACATAAAATGTTATAAAACATTATCATGGAGCTAAGGCGTAAATTCAAGCTGGGAGACAGAACACAGCTGATCCTCAAACACAGCTGATCCACTTCAATCACGTCACACCCCGCTGCGGCCAATCAGGATCGGCGCTCCTGCGCGTTCCAGCCAATCAACGTCAGCCAGTCCATTCAAGAAGTCGAGCCTCCGGGGATCTGCCTGCTCGTCAGCTGTGCTTCGCCCACCTCCTCCCCATCTCCACCTTCAGCCCGATGACCATTCTCCAGGCGCCCTACGCGCTCCTCCATCCAAGGCTTCGCTCCATCATCAGTATTCGGACCGGGGGGTAAAACTAGTGAGCTTCGCCGGACTCAGCATCTTCCCCGATCTACGCTCACTAGTCTTCCGCCGGTTCGAGCGCCAAAGATTTGTTCATTAAAATCTCCTAACTGCTTATTTTCTCTGTGTGAGTCGATCCAGATTGAAATCAGTTTAACAATGGATCCTCAAGATTAATCTTTAAATTTGATGATGGTTGTATCATTGAATGTTTTTGATTCAAAAGAATATTTTAATCAGAGAACAATAAAAAGTTTAACTGGTTTCAGTTTGTGGCATCATTACCTTGCTAACAGAGATTGTCTATCAGTAGGGACAATATGGAGGTGTGTGCGATGCTGTGATCAGTTTTCAGTTTTCTTTCTAACGTTAGTGGGACAAACTGAACCTCTGGGTTTTAAACAGAAATAAAATGGATTTGGTTTGTGTCTTAAAGAAATACATTTCCTGGATTCAATATTTTTTATTTTATTTATAGAGCTAATCTAATATTAACTTCATGAATATCCAGATTTTATTACAGTCCATTCAATCAAATAATTTCCAATTTTATCCTAGAAATACAACAAGAAACTTTAGTTTGTTATTGAATTTAGGAAAAAGTTTTCTATCTAAAAAACCTAACAGTGTGAGTTTACAGCAGGACCTCAGAATGAGCAAGTATGTGGAGACAGTGGAGAGAAAAACTCCTGTTTAACAGGGAAAAACCTAAACAGCCAGATTCAGAACCAGAACCACTGTGGTTCTGGTTCTGGTTCTGCAGGTCTCCACTGGGGGCCAAAAGGTTTTATTAGTCTGGGATTAATTGTTCCTCCTAAATATAAAAATATTTTAAAAACCTTTGCAAGAAAAATTACATTTTTTCTAATAATTCTTTAAGTTAATATTTGAACTTTATTAACTCAGATATAAATGAAACATTGTCTGGTTTTAAAAATTGATTTAATAAACCCAGAATTATCTCCAGATCTGTTTGATGAGAGTCGAAGTTTTTCTGAAGCTTCAATGAATATTTTCTTATGGATTATTGATTATTGATCTGCTGCTGATGGTTGTTGATGATCCGATTCCCTGACTGGTTTTAAAGATGTTGAAGCCAAATAAAGAATCTGGACTGTAGAAATGCCAACATTAATTTCACTGCAGCTCAGATTGTTTGAGAGTCTCCAATATCTAAATGAATGAATGAATGATGAAAACCTGTTCTGCGTTTGTCCAGCTGCTTCCTTTCGGCCCATAAATTTCTTCCTGATCACCAAGACTCCAAAAGCCACCAATGCAACGAGAGTCACTGGGATTAGAACTAGCATCCAATCTGTCATCAGGAACAAATACAGGAACAAAACACAACAGACGGAAAATTTAACAAAAACTGCAACAAAATAAGAGAATTAAATGAATAAAAGTATGTATTACAT